GACGTGGCTTGTTTCAACTTTTTATTGGGGGGGTGGGGGGTTTATAGAAATACCCCCCAGCAGCTATAAACAACTATATGGGGGGTATTTATGTATTTTGGCTTTGGGGAGATAAAATGACAATAATGCCCCCAACAATTATATAATAGCTAGTTTAGGGGTATTTGGGTGAAGTGATAAATGACTATAATGACCGAAATACCCCTCCCAACAACAAAAAAATGGCTAGTTTTTAGGGTATTTTGGGAAACTAAATTATTTTCAATTCTTATAAATAACTTTATCCTCCACCATTCTTATCAAACCAATTTTCTTACTCTCTTATACTCTCTCAAATCTCAATCTCTCATACATCATACTCACACACTCTCTACTCGCCAATTCTCAACTTGATTCATGTTACAAGAACAAGGCTTACTCAGGTATCTCAAGTTAACAATTTGGGAGATTTTGAGGCTTCAATCGTTGAAATCAAGTTGAGATTTCGAACTAGAAATCCGGGTAAGTGTAATTAAATTAATTTTTATTTTTTTATAATTAAAAAAATGGTTGGCTCTTCCTCTCGCTCTCAACACCAATTCCCCAACGTGGTCAATGTCAACGATGTTGATGTTCAATCGCAATATGATAGTTTTAGCACCGATATGGATGTTGCTGATACTGCCGACATTCCAACTCCTAGTATTGCTACTAGAGGTGGGGGGAAAAGAAAGAGGAAAACACTAGGTTGGTTAGCCCAGCTTGGACATTATTTAAAATAGAGGAGGTTGGGGGGAAGGGAAAGAGAGCCGCTTGTAAAAAATGTAGGAGTGGCTTTAGCTACAATAGTAGTGGTGGTATTGGCCATTTGGGCAGACATTTGAGACGCCATATGATGAAATAGGAAGAAGGAAAGAAACATCATAAGTACAAATAGGAAGTGAGATTTTTGGTACTTTTAAATATTCCTAAGAAAGAATGAGGCAAGAGTTAGCAAAATATATTGTGCATGCTAAACATCCATTTTTATTAACTAAAGATACCAAACTTGAAAAAATTTTACGTAGATCTGTAAATCCACAATTTGAAAAAGTTTCTAGAAATACTATTAGAACAAATGCATTACAAATTTTTTATTCATATAAACAAAATTTAATTTTTATTTTATCAAATCTTAATTCTAAAGTTGCAATTATTTTTGATATTTGGAAATCTAGATTTAATATAAGTTATATTTGTGTTACTAATCATTTTATTGATGAAAAAATATTTTTACATAAAAGAATTTTAAGTTTTACTATGTTTGAATGGCCACAAACTGGCCCAATTATTGCTGCAAGTATTTTAAATACTTTACATATTTATGAAATTGAAAATAATTTTTTTCTATTAGTTTTGATAATGCTAGTAATAATGATTCAACAATAAATATTTCAAAATCTCAATTAAAACTATGTTTAAATGTAAATTATTTCATATTATATTTGCATGTCACATCTTAAATTTATGTATTAATTCAAGATGCTTTAAATATTATTTTTCTTCATATTTCTAAAATAAAAAATTGTATAATATATATTAAAAGTTTTCGAGCAAGAAAACAATAATTTAAATATTTAAAATATTTAGATATTCAACATAGATGGAATTCTACCTATTCTATGTTAGAAAGTTGTATTGCTTACAAACAAATTCTTACCAATTTTTATAATGCAAAAATGCCACACAATATTATACTTGAAGAAGACTGGAAAATGGAAATTCGTATAAAAGATTTTTTATAAATTTTTTATGATGCAACTAATGAATTTTCGGGTGTTTATTACTCAACTAGTTGTCTTTTAGTTAATCAATTATTTTTGATTAGTGAATGTTTTGCAAAATATAGGAAAAATCCACAATTCGAAAGTATTATTGAAATAATGGAAAATAAATTTAAAAAATATTGGAAGAAAATTTCTCCCCTTTATTGCTTAGCTACAAAGGAGGGCATGGCATTACACTTGATGTTTCACTTGAAGTAGATAATGAAATCAAGGAGATGAAGATGAAGATGTAGGTGGAGGTGAAAATTGAAGAAAAATAGTGAAGTCAATATTTTTTATTTTTTATTTTTTATTTTTTATATACTCAACATTTCAATTATTGTATTTTTTCATTCTTTAAAAATATTATAATTTTTTAACTTTATTTAAATTAATTGTTATTTTTTCAACAATGTAATTTTTTATTGTTAATTTATAATTGTATTTTATTCCACTTTTCTATATTTCATTCATCCATTGACCATTATATTGTTCAAATTCAAGAAATAAAATTCCTATTTTTTCCAATTTGTTGACCATTTTGTATTTTGTTAAGTATTTAAGTATTTTTTTATTTTTTTTTATATTTTTTATTTTTTTCAATTTGTTCCCAAAGCTCAAAGCAAAAGTGAAGAATTTTAGTTTTAGTGTTTACTTAGCAAAAAAAATCAAAATGTAAAAAAAAAAAAACAGCTTTGCTCGATTTAGCCTAGGCCGACCTAGCATGGCTCGATTTACACCTCTAGCCTCATGATCACCTCGCTTTTAAAATCTTGGTCAGAATCATGGCCAAAAATCTATGATCTTAGTCATGAGTCAAGGTATAAAAAGAAACACCTTAATTTTATAATTGATAATAGACTCCAAAAGTTTCAATACTGATGGAGGGTGATTTGACCCGACCTCCTAAGAAGGTGACACGTGGACGTGTTGCAGCATAAGTAACAACTCAGCGTGACAGCCTAGCTACAACTGAGTAACGAGGTCGTTAAAGTCCTCGCAGGTCAGTTCGCTACATTACAGCTTGCCACGAACGAACTCGCTACAACGCGAGCTCAAGGACCCCAGTATGCTGAAAGGGAACACTCCAAGCTAAGTCTATCCCAGCTCGAGAGCTCAGACAATCAGCTCGCTCCTATACTTAGGCAAGAGGACCGCCTCAAAGGCAACCTCAGGCGGAATCACCTCAGGATACCTCCAGGAGCTCGCTACAAGGCAGTTCGCTATTGAGCGATGCAGCATTTTTAGGAAGCTTCTTATCTGACAAGACCGTACCCGTCAGACTGCACCACGTCTCCTGACTGACGGCACAGTCCCTGCCAGCCCAGCGGACTGCACCCACGTCTCTCGACAGGTGGCGGCGTGTCTGTCCTTTCCAGGTCGTGTCTCTCATTTGATTGGGCAGTACTCTACAGCGGTTACCTGCGCAGCCCTGGCAAATAACGGCTGCAATAGAGGGTCAGTGGCGGTTACGCCCAATTTGACAAGAACATCAGTATTTAAAGGCCCCGGTTTCCAAGAGGCGGAGGTAATTAAACTGATCTAGCGCTATTTGCACTCTTAGCTCTCTTTGCATTTTTTACAGCTCTCTCAGAGTTCTAACTTAAGCATCGGAGTATTCCCACCGGGTGAGCTCCTCGGTAATCCTTCACCTTCCTCTTCTTAGGTATCGTCCGTCGCCAGCTAGGAGCCAGGCATCCGCCAGCTAGGAGTGCCCGGATCGCGCTGCATCATTTGGTGCCGTCTGTGGGAACGCTTCAAAAAGCCTTCCTCTAATTTCTGCAACTTCCTCTAAGAACTCAGCATCCATGGATTCCTCTAGCAATGTCGGACGGGGTGACAACCTAAACGCTTCTGGGAGCGACCTCAACTCCCCACTATCTGCATTGGACAGTTCACTGTCCCCCTCTCTGTGGACGGAGTTCCTAGCCTGAATGTACGTCAGACAGTGGCACCTGTGAACGTTCCGCTCTCTTCCACGGTTGGAACAACCTTCACTAAACCTTCTGTTGTTCCCCTAGTGACCAACCAAAACCAGCTTGAAGACCTGGTGCAGTGCATGAGAGCTATGCAAGCTCAAATGCAACAGTTTCAACAGTTTTAACTCTATCAGCAGCAAGTGCTGCATCAAGTTTTTCAGTACCAGTATCAACAGCAGTTCCCTCCACTGCCTCAGGCCCAACAGTCGCTTCCCCCTCAGAATCCGGCCACGAAGCAAGCCAAGCCTCGCCGTTAGAACAAACGTCCTTCTCGCCGGGGAGAGACCTCGGCATTGTCTCACGGCAGGAAGGAGAGACCAGTCACCCCCGCCTCGCAGCATGCAGGCAGGTCAGGGGCCTCCTAGCCGGTCAGGCCTGCATCACCTCAGCACTCTCAGATCGAGCTCCCGCTCGCCGAAAACCAGTTTGAGGTCCTAGTCGTGGATTACAGGCAAGGCCCTTCGGTTCACAACTATCATCAGCAGTGTGAGCCCCTCCCTAGGCCCATCAAGCTCGGTAATACTGAAGCAAGCAGCACCAACGCCGAGCCGATGAAGCAACAGCAGAGGTGCCAATGAGCTCGTCGAACTGCCGCTCACGACCTGCCCGAGCTCAAGGGTAAGGAGTAGGTAAGCTTAGGTGAAGTAAAAGCTACTCCTCTCCTTTCAGTTCCCTCCCCCCTGTCTCCAGAACTTCTTGTTCTTCCTATGCCAAAGGACTTCAAGCTTCCTCACCTGGATAAGTATGATGGATCCTTCGATCCAAATGACCATGTTGATGCCTTCCAGTCCCAGATGCACCTGGCAAGGGCTAGTGAATCCTGAATGTGTGTGGCTTTCTCCACCACATTTAAAGGAGTGGCCCACACATGGTACCGGAATCTCGCACCTGGATCAATAAAAAGCTGGGTGTAGTTCGTGCAAATCTTCACTTCTCATTTCATCACCAGCAAGAGGTGCCTGAGAACTCAGGAGAGCCTCCTTGGCATAGTCCAGAAGGAAGGAGAGTCCATTCGGAGTTATATCAAGCAGTTCAATGATGCTTGTTTGCAAATACCCAACCTGGACACCGCAGTTCGGCTCACCGCGGCCAAGCGAGGCACTACCCACAAAGAATTCAAGTGGCATGTGGTTGTTAATCAGCCCAAGACTGTGAACGAGTTTATTAAGCTCGCGGATCAGTTTATAGGGACGGAGGAGGAGATCAAGCAGAAAGGTGAACAGGCCCTTGAGAAAAGAAAAAGGGAGGCAGAGCCCCCAACTCAGGGCGATAGCAAGAAGAAGAAAGACCAAGCTTGGGGGGCAAGGCTAGGACAGACTTTCCGAGCTCCAGCGGCAGAGAGGACGAACTACACGCTTTGAACGCAAAGCGAGCCGATATCCATATGGCAATCAAGGACGCCCCCATATGTGAAGTGGCCACCTCGGCTGAAGGCAGATCCTAGTGTAAGAAATAAGAATTTGTATTGTAATTTCCATAAAGACCACGGTCATAGCACTGAAAATTGTAAAATCCTCCGCGACGAGATAGAGGAGCTCATCCATCGCGGATACTTAAGAAATTTTGTACAAAATAATAATAATAATAAAGCAAGTCGGCAGGGGGAGCAGAGTAGATATGCTCCCGAATCCAGCAGGCAGGCAGAATAATCGCAAAGTCAGCCCCCTGAAGAGAGACCAGTTCGGGGGACTATCCACGTGATTGTCGGAGGTTCGGTCATTGCGGGCTATACCTCAGCTGCAGCTTGGGCATCAGCTCGCGAGGCCACCAGGGAAGAGCAAAATCCCCTGAAGCAGCCAAGGATGGAAGACCCGATCTTCTTCATAGAGGACGATGCACACGGGGTCCACTACCCCCATGATGATGCGCTCATTATAAAGGTAAAGATTAATGACTTTAAAGTCAGGCGTGTCCTCGTCGACTCTAGCAGCTCGGCAGATATCCTTTTCAAAGTAGCATTTGACAAACTCCAGCTCCAAGAAAGCAACCTGAAGCCCACAAATACTCCCCTAGTAGGCTTTAGCGGAGAGGAAGTCATGCCCCAGGGAAGGATAACAGTACCTGTGGAAGTCGGCACCTGGCCTAGCATAGTGAGGCTCAACCACGACTTCTTAGTGGTCGCAACCCCCTCACCGTACAATGCCATAGTAGGACGGTCAATCACCCATGCCCTACGTGCGGTGGTCTCCACTTACTATTTGGCAATGAAGTTCCCCACAGACTTCGGCATTGGGATAGCGCGAGGTAACCAACTTGAGTCTCGCAAATGCTACGTCGCCGCCCTCAAAGGCAAAGCCAAGGTGGCCGATGTCCTCGAGCTGGAGTGACCTACGGAGCAATGCGAGGAGCAAGCTGCATCCACAGAAGAGACCCTCTCCATCCCAGCATCGACGGAGGACCCAGCTCGGACACTTTAGATCGGCGCTTCCATTGAGGAGCCTCTACGATCCCAACTAGTAAGCTTCTTATTTGAAAATTTAGATGTTTTTGCATGGTCCGCGGTAGAGATGCCCGGCATAGACCCTAGCCTCATAACTCACAAGCTTAATACCGATCCTATAGTTAGGCCCGTTAGACAGAAGAAATGCAAC